AAAAAAAAAAAAAAAAAAAGCAAAAGAAACTTCAGAAGAGTAGCTTCATTCGTGACGATGTTCTATAAAATTTTGACAACCAAGTACAGTAGAGGTAAATGGTTGTCCCGTAAACCTAGTTCCGTTAGACCTAACGTCGAATTATTATTAATTAATTAATATGATATTGGACCCATAATAGGTTTTTTTTTAAAAAAAAAAAAATTAAATTTGAAAGGCACGTGGGTGGATTATTATTGTTATGATTAAAATATTCCAACAGCCATAGGCATAGTAGAACTCAAATAATTCAAACAAATACCCCTTTTTTTCAATCTCTTTCCCAACCACTTTCCTGGGAATATTTTTGTAACCCTTTTTTTACCATTCTATTTTAGAACCAAACATCAATGCCAATAAATGTTCAATTAGGGGAACTATGTAGAAACCGAAAAGTTCGATCCAATTGGGTTAGTTCCATTGGTCTTGTCGTTTTAAGTATAAAGCACAATTCTAATTGTTCGGTTCGATTTTAACCTATCTTAAGTTTGATTATTGGGTTCACCCCTAGTTTCCCATAAGATAAATAAAGTTGCATAAGATAAATAAAGTTGCAGAATCTTAACTTATCGACATTTGTCGATCAGAGCATAATTCAATAGATCAGAGCATAATTCAATAGATAAGACACTAATTATTGTTGAGTATTGATTCCTCACCTCCACAATAACTAAACTAAAAACCCCTTAAATTAGTTATCTATCTAGTAGACACATTTAGAACCATGAGGCTAATAGTAATACCTAACGAATCAAAGCAGACAATATTTACTAGCTGTTACAACTTGCACAAATCTAAACTCATTGATACTCGTCAATTCGAGCATAGCTCAATAGATAAGACACTAATTACTATCTCAAACGTCGAGTATTCGTTCCTCACCTCCACAATAACTAAACTAAAAAAATTTATTGATTTTTTTTTGTTGAACATCGATGAGAACGACTCTTGAGAAGTTCAAATCAGAGTCGTTTTTTCACCCCTTAAATTAGTTTATCTCCCTAGTAGGCACATTTAAAAACATGAGGCTAACAACAATACCTAACGAGTCAAAGCAAGCAATATCTACTGGCTGTTACTCCTTGTACAAATATAAATTTATTGACATTCGTCCATTCAAGCATAGCTCAATAGATAAGACACTAATTACTATCCCAAACGTCGAGATTCGTTCCTCACCTCCACAATAACTAAACTAAAAACTTTATTGGTTTTCTTTGTTGAACATCAATGAGAACGATTCTTGAGAAGTTCAAATCAGAGTCATTTTTTCACCCTAGTAGACACATTTAAAACTACGCGGCTAACAACAATACCTAACGAGTTAAAGCAGACAATATCTACTAGTTGTTACAACTTGCACAAATCTACACTCATTGATACTCGTCAATTCGAGCATAGCTCAATAGATAAGACACTAATTACTATCTCAAAAGTCAATAATTCAGTCATCACCTCTAGAATCGTTGAGTGAAAAGCATCCAACTTCTTCGACTAAAGTAAGAAAGGTAGATCTCTCAACTACACAACAAACATCATGACAACAATTTATACTATTTGAAACAATAAAATCAAGTTCATATGAAAAGGGTCCACCAGAAAAAGGAAGAAAAAGACCAATGAAAAAGATAAAGGAGGAAATGAGAAGGTTGAGGAATCAAATCATTATGAAGCAAGTTTTGTAAGCTAAGAG